AAGAAAACCTTGGCCTCGCGACGGACTCGAACCCGAACTTGAGCTATTCAGGCACCGTACTCTTAACCCCTTCACTGACGAGCAACCCTTCTTGATGGCAGAAAAAAAAACAGTTTCTAAAATTGTTTCTACACTTTGAACTCAACGACGGGTGCAAAAACCAGAGTTGTTTTCCAATCAGCGGCCAACTAGGTGTCTCATCGATGCGCCAAAGACCACCCAGAGAGGGCCCACAGACCTTTGTACAAGACACTGCACCGTACACAACACTACTCGTGTGCTCCGTGAAAATCATTGAGAGAGTGAAGAAGACAGGCGCACACCCACCGCACTCCTGTTCCCCTGAGGCAATCTCTTCCGGTCTGCCCTTTCTCACTTAGTGACGTTTACAATTAACATGAACAGCAACAGATACGGTATTGATCTTGATCATCCGTTATTAAGAGACCGCTCTGCTCATCGGCAGAGTCCACACTCCAAATACTGGACTATGCCGGTGAGCCCAGACCCCTCTCACCTCTGATGGTGAGGCATAACCATAGAGAGACCAACACTACCACTGCGTCCCAACTTGGGTGGTTGTCTCACGTTTGGCGCAATAACAGCCTTCTGCCAGGATGTGTTTCTTTACTGCCAATTATTTGACGATGCTTCCTTTGTATCGTAGAGGCATTTCTGCTCATTTGGAATTTTTGAAGTTTCCGTTTTGGGCGATTTTCAGTATGTCCCACGTCTGACGTTGGGAACTGTACCCAGTAACTTTCCACCCAGTTGCAGTACTCGACATCTACCGATTTCTCTTCCTTGTCCAGCCACAATAGGTAGGAGTGCTTGTCAGTATTTGTTCTTGCTGGATGTTCGACCATCCAGCAGCTAATCTCGTCCCTCAGAGTCCGAACCGTTACGGCATCGGCACCTATTATTCGATTCTTATTCGCTATGCTCTCGGCGCATTAGCCTGCGGAATAGAGTAGACCAATGCCTGACCATCGTCCATGCCTCTCCAGCTTATAAAATGAGCGTACCACCCCTCTGTTCAGTTGCTTCAAAGCCACCCTCCACACGTTGGAGGGTTGCACTGGGATAAGGGAACTTCCCCCGATTTCCCACGTTCGCTTTGCGGCATGCGGCAAACCTTTCCTAGTTATCTCGCGGCTCCCAACTGCAATTACCATACTCGGCCCGCCTCCCCGCCAATCGATAGGACGCAATATTCTGCATTGACTGCCTTTCTTTTTTGATTGATTTTGATTGTTTTTCTCTTTCTATTTCGTTTTTATGTTCATTAGAACTGATTGTTTGGAATGACACTCCTATATTACCAATGGTCAAGACCGCATTGGATTTGAAGGGAACGGCCAGCGAATTCAAATGATTGAGGGGCTCCTTAATTAATAATTGCGCGCCCCAACCTTCCGTCGCAATGCTGCGCTACGCCGTGGGTGCGGCATGCGCAATGCCGTGTACGGGGAAGACAACGGACCCGTTGCGCTGTACCGCCCGAACCTCCCTGGACCATCTCGTCACCCGCGGACACCACAATGGCTTATGCGTCTTAGCACATGAGTGAGCCCGGCTTTCCCATTTCTCTTTGACTGCGCCGTATCTCTTGCTCTGTTCATTGGATGGCACTCTCTCGATAAGAGTGGTCACAGAAATCAAATTCAAGTAGTAGTGGGAGGCAAGCAGCGTCCGGGAAAATAAGCGTAACACCCCTCTGTTCAGCTGCCCCAAAGCCACTCTCCACGTCGGAGGATTGCACCGGAGTAACGGAACTTCCCCCGATTTCCCACGTTCGCCATCGCATGCCATCATCGTATGCCATCATCCGGGAATCAGGTAAAGTAGGGAGCTGTAGAATTTTGTGAATGGATTTTCCACGCTCAAGCAATAAGGGCATTCACAAAAGGATGGAGGGAGGATGAAATCAAGGAAGTTCTTCTCGTGGGATGAGAGCCAACTCCATCACTTCCAAAACTTGATAAGCAGCTCAAAGTAGCTCGAAAGTCGCTGACCATCTCTCTGACATTTCCAAGAAGAATGGGTTTGGCCATTAGTATACGCCATGCGCCATGCTTTCTGGGAACTATGCATGCGATACCTAGAGCGCCACTTGTCACCAGACCATCTCCGTCTTGTGATGGCCATTTATACCGACATACTCTTCTCCTTCCACTCCCTAACGTTAATCCCGTGCCGTCGCAGGGTCCGCCTTTACAGACGTACCTGAGTGCAAATATATTTTTGTCCATCAGGCATGGACATCCAACTGGCGTGGATATAGTCATCTTCAGGTGGTCGGTCTTTTAGTACCACTCTCGTCGCGTCTATACAAATTATATCGTTGTACCTAAAAATTATCAATGAAGTTATTAAAGCCAAAAATTGGTAATTTACGGGAAAAATAAAGGATTGAGCTTATGGGTGTCAATTAATCCCGTCTGAGAGATTTACCCCGCATTCGACTTCTATTCAGATTCGTAGTGGCGTATTGAATGCGTATGTGACTAATACAATGAATTGCGGTGGCCAGCCGATGAACGAGTCAGTGCTTTTATCCTCCCAAACGAGTCTGGTACCAAATAATCAACCCCGGACTGATGGAAGGCTTTGTTGGCCTAGGTGAGTATCGCTCAAGTCGCCCAGCCTTCGCCCTATCAACTTATTTTCAGGTTAAAAACAAAAATTCGAGGTTCAAAGATAAGGAATGATGGAAATAGTATTAGTCTGCTACTGAGAAATAAATCGAATTTGAACCCTTGCCTGTTCTTTGCATCGTTCTTTTCGTACGCCTCGGTCGTATAGTCGGATGGTTTGATTTTTTTATTTGCAGCAAACTCTTTAGCCAATGCCCTTATAGGCTAAAATCGCATGTTTAGCATTAATCAGTAATGACCCAGTTTTACGGGGTCCGGGAACTTCTCCCCTAACACGGCGTCGCACACGCCGCACCCGCCGCCTATCGCAGGATTGCGATGGAAGTTTGGAGCGCGCAATTTGTGACGTAGGGAGTCCTTTAATNTAATTAATCAAGTCTAATAAACATGAAAACTAAGAAGAAACAGAAGAAAAGACGATAAAATCCAATAAAAAAGCAAGCTAGACAAGGAAAAATATCGCGTCCTATCGATCGGCGGGAGGCGAGGTGAGTACGGTAACTGCAGTGACATTTGCCGCATGCAGCAAGGGAGAATGCCGCGATAGGGGAGGAGTTCCGTTACCCCAGTTTTACGTACTTTTTTCAATATCAAATTCTGTGCCCACATTGCTCGATTGTCTGAGGTGGTAACGACTGTCGACTTTGAATCCCCATCACCCTGTCAAAGGAAAATTGGATGAAGTCCACTAATTTACAAACAACACGGTTCAGTTCACCTTTTTCTGTTCATCCATTGCATGTTCGACAACATCCTCATGATAGACGTTCGCTATGAAGTCTTTCTAAAAACTTTCATTCTAACTGCTGCGATTCTCGATTACTATATTGAGTTTGTGGTGTGATGTGGTGTGGCTTTTTCCACTTCCATCAACTCTTTGAATGTGTTCCATGAGATTACAGGAGCTTTTGTTAGCTTACAGCCGTTTACACTCACTGCGTCCTTCTTTCAAAGCACAGTCCTGACACGTCTCGTCTGAAGGCACAGGTCATAAAATTGGTTTCTGGGATGGATAGCTCAAGAGATCGGGTTAGGAAACGGCCTAGATAGGGAGTACTGATGGCACGAAAACCGAGGCAGACGCGCCCGTATTGGGACGAGTTGTCACGACGTTGTAGAGGCTGTAGAGGTGCACCATTCGCACCGGGGCTCACACGTTGCACGAAGGCAGCTTACTGTAGCCAGCTGTACGACAATGGTGCACAGTTCATCCAGATAACCCTTCTGTGCAACTTTTGTGGTCACACTCTCGTACAATCCCTATCTTTATCACTTTTTAACCTTCTAATTCTCCGAATACGGCGACTTCCGCGTTTCTCTCGCTAATTTTATTTATATTATATAAGTGTATATATATTATTATATTTATATTATATTTATATCATATATTTTAAGCTATCGATTCCTTTATTCGATTTGAACTAGACGGGGAACGTCCGTTTCGCGCGTTTGTCGGAACTGATAACCCCGCCCACTTCGCACGCGGCGCAGGCCACTGCGATGTCGAGATGACATTACAGTACCACTAAGTGTCAGTGGAGCGAATGATTTGCACTAGTCCGCATATTTTCTGAGTCGATGTGCAACCCAATAGCAAACTGGTCCTGCTTCCATTTCTGTATGCGATGTATGGAAGAGGTGTGTCATTCACCTGAGGGCTTTTTCGAGCTTCGAGGAGAAGCAGAGAGGATGGATCTCGTCAAGCTTTGGCGCTTATGGAACGATGCATTTTTCGAGAAGTTTTCAAGTCCGTGCGCTCGATTTAAAAATGTCTGGTTCATTGGTTCATACTGCCATCCAATAGTGCCTTCTCTTCATCTTTATACTGCTCTCTGTTCTCTATTGTTCAAGGATAAACATCAGCGAAACAACCCGAGATACGTCGCAAGCAGAGATGGTAACGTGAACAGTTACCGTTGGGCTGCACATCGCTCAGCAAGTGGGTGCCAGCAGAGGATACTACCTACTAGAAGGAACGAACTGAAACTCCAAAGCACCTCAAAATTGGAAGAGTAGACCTTTCGATTTTTGCGCGCTATGGAAGAAAAATGGCCTATTTGTTGCTAAACAAGGTGGGGGCTGCGAGCTGCTAATCTCCAACTTTCCGGAATCTCAAGGGATCCTTTGATATGAACACTGTACATAAATGGCGGTGTTTTAAGACTGAAGCGTTATAAACTGCTGAGGAGATCGTAAAGGGGAAGTTCCGAACTGCTGAAGGCGAATGGCCGATGTAATGAATCTGCTGCATTTCGAAATATCTATGTAAAGTTTCTTAATCTATTTCGCAGGTATGGCCCAGCTTGAAAGCGCTTTCATAGGTAGACTCTGACGCAAAAGTCGTAAAGTAACGACGTGGATCCGATCCCGTCACTTCTCAGAAATGAGCCGGACTCTTATCCGCTGCACCGTGAAATCACGTTAGCCAGCCTTGGCCGTCGTCTATGTCAGCACACGAATCAGTTTGATCGCGCTTGAAGCCTACTTCGGGTTACCCGGACAGTTCGGCTCAGCAGGACACCCCTTCCACTGGAGGGAGTGTGGGCTGCTCAGTCCTGCTGAGCCAAATTACCCGACTACCCATCGAACCTTCAGCAGCGTATATCATCTTGGTTGAACCTGTGAAATTTACTGATTCAGAGAGAGCGCAAAGGTAATCGAGAGCGGATAGTTTGAGGAGCAGGTGTTTTCTGGTACGATGAGTGATTAGAAATTACTCGAAGGAACAAATGAACTCAAGCCTGACTGCCTTCTTTTGTTCTTGGAAATTTCCTTTCACTTTCGGCTCAAACAATAAGTCGCAGAACCAGCTTCGAAAGCCCCTAGCTTGAATATTCCCTACTCTTCAGGAAATCGCAGCTTCTTGGGAGCCACAGATTCCCCCGATGGGGAATCTACAAATCATTTTCTTCCTGGACTGGGTTCTTGAGAAGCAAAGAACACTGTGGGCACGGCTTCCACAATTTCCTATATGATAATATCAACAACCAAATCAGACTTACCTTCGGTGCTCTACCAGCTGTTGGAGCTGGGGAGGGTTGTGTTTGTGCACCTTGAGGTGATGGTGATTGCTGATTAGGAGACGTGCGTCGTCCAGTAGTTCTGCCACCCTCTGCGCTTGAAGTTCTTTCTGAACATTAGGCTAGCAGCTGGAGAGCTTCGATACAGTAAGATTTTTACAGATGCGATGATGAAGGAATGTTGCGTTTCTCGAGGGACGAGCCGATATGACCCCCCCCCCCCCCCCCCCCCCTCCCCTAATCTACTGTTAAAGTGCTTCCACGGGCAAATTGCCAAGTGCCGCTACTACCATCACAATCAATCTCAGATCAGACCGAGAAAACAGTTACGTGAATGATACAAATTGATTTGCTACAGTGTAATGGGTTAGGAGCGAAAGAGAATGAAATCCTGCCCAAACAGCAATGCTCTGCCAGTATCAGGAGCTCTGCCTAGGTCTACCATAGTTCCGACGTTCTGCTCTTAGGATAATGCCTCCGACAATGAAAGAGAATCGGGTGATCGGCCCAGGACTACCACCACCGTCAAGACCTTCATCTCTGAGCCCCGTATCCGCGAGTCACGAGATTTTAATGTCCTCTCTTCTTATTTCTGACGGCTCGCAGTCGTCCAAGGCTGAGCCGCTACGCGAGGAGTCCTAGACCAGCTCGATTCACACTTTCGAGCAATGACGTTCAAAGTCGGCTAACGTTATGCTCCTACTCCTTCTTTTGGCTTGTAGATTTTTTGCTGTGACGGCTTCCTCTACGATACTTTGCTGCCTTGCCTGTGGGTTGACCTATGCTTGGGCACCTTCCCCAACAGGTCGATCTACCTCGAAGACCGTATCAACCTCTCCTCTTGCTTGTAACGACTGAACATTCTTGAAAGTTCGGCAAAAAAGACTTCTTAGGTCCACAAAGTTCCCAGTATCAATACAATTATACCAACCACACCACCCAGCACTCGGCGAACACTTTCAGGAACTCCTCGAAGACGAATTCGTCATGCTGTTCGTAGGTTTCGTCTAGAGAGCCATCATTTAGCACGAGCCTTGACAGATTCATGTAAGTATCATATATTAGCTTAGCCTATCAACCCCTCAGCGGAATAGTTGAGCGGGACGATCATCTCAATCCTATGTGATGGTAACCTCTTTCTCTGATGATTACAAGTTACCAAAATTTTTTGGTTGGTATGCATCACAGCCGGAAACCACTTTCTGTGGGTAGAGAATGATTAACAGCTAATCGGTAATGATAAGAACCTTTTCATCGATTATCATAGATATCACTGTTCTTTCAGCACGGGTAAGGGTCCTTCCACTCGAATGGGCTGGAGCGCGCAAAATGAAGGAAGTGTAGCCTACTTTGCGAGCCCATAATGGTGCTTAAGAATGTTTCTTAGCCGAGAAAATATGGTTTTTTTCTCTAGGGACGGAGCACCACTGTCGGTGAGCCAGTTGAATGTTCGGTTCCTACCCCACCCCAGCTTTTTGCCTGAAGTAATCGACCCAACCACACGGTGTTCCTCTCCTCCTGAGGCTCAGATTGAATTCCTTCGGCTGAGAACCATCTCAAAGCACAAGTAGCTCTGAGAATTTAGCAGCCTCTTTCGGGCGGTACGGCCCCCAACGCTGCCGTATCGGCCGCCAACCATGGGAATGGCTTTGCTGTAGTGATCGAGGTGTGAAAGTAGGTTTCATGCGTGCTGGCCAAGCAGATAGCCAAATCTTTTGGTGGTGTTAGTAACATCAAATGTATGGCATTGAAGGTCCGGCAACAATCCTTTTCTTTTTTTGATGGGTTTTCTTTTTTAGCCGAGAATTTCTCTTCCAATGAATTGATCAGAAAATGTTTGAACTCACCTTGTTGCTCTCTTTTTTTCTTCCGATCCCGGAACCTAATCGCGGCAAATAACTGGAAAGAACTGAATTACAGGATTCCCCAAGTAATCGACGGTCGTAGCATATAAGCACGGGCTTTCTAAGCTCAGAAAACCTTTCGGATTGTATGGCATTAGGTCAGGGAACAGGTGAGCGTCAGCTCAGTTACCACCGTACGCTGCAGATTCGCCATCAAACTTAATGACTCCTGCTCCAACTAGGCGTATGCCACTGAAAAGGATACGTACCCTGGCCGCCATCAAGAACCAGAACCAGACACGTTCACCGATAATGAAAAGTGAACCATCCTCCGTTGAGACCAGCTAAATGCTGTAGTTTGATAGTCGTTTCCGGTAGAACTGAACCATATGTCACACTTCATTCTTTCACCAAAGAAGAAGCAGAGCGGTTTGAGAAGCCTTCTCCAACAACTCTCTCAAATGACTTGCAGGTTATGAAATAGGCCCTAATATTGAAAGGATGGCGGACAAAGTTTGGGGCTCTATCAGTCCTGTCTGAGGGATGCGCCCCCGCATTCGTCACTCACTCAAAATGGCGTATTGAGCGCATGTGTGGCCTGTACAATGCTTTGCGATGGCCGGCCGAATCAGTGGTTTTTATCTCCCAGACAAGTCTGGTACCAGTTAACCGAGCCAGGAGGGATGAAAGGCTTGGTTAGCCTAGGCCAAAATCAAACAGCGATTCAAGCCCGAGTGAGATAGTGAGTGCGAAGCTTATCACTACACCACCTCTGTCCTGTGCCCATTTGCTTGAATTTGTGTCAGGTTCAATATTTACTTCCTTTACGCGCCTCCTGCATCATCAGGCTGCATAAACGATGGTTTTTGTTGTGGGTTTTGACCATACCACCGAGATTAGTAGCAGCAACTTTATAGGTGGCCAGCTAACTCGTCTTCTCCAGAGCCTCTTAAGTCGAAAGCATATTTATGATTTATACATTCACCTTTCTTGAATTACAAGAGAAAATTCTAAAGTATCGAGAATCATAAGCAATGAAGCTGACCTCGGAAGGAATGGGGATCATCGTCGCACCATGAACTCTGTATAAGATTTCCACGGTATTTTAAATGTTTTGGAATAGAGGTGGGCAGAGAGCTACAGGGACCTCTAGGGTGGAAACTAATAATCGAGGCCGCTCGACGATCAAGACCTCGCTGATGGCCGACAATCGCTCTTGATAATGATCTCTAGAGTATTTACGGTGCTTAAAAGTTAGCCCCCGCATAGGCGTCCCTGCAGGGATCAGATGTCATGTGATGAGGTATACAACTCCTGGAATCATATTGTCGCCTTTCTTTCCGGAAGGGCAGATCACTCTGGAGGGTACTTACAAGTTCTGATCAAATACTACTGATACTGAACCGCCAAATCGACGCAGAAAATTTTTGTTGGATATTCAAGAAAAACGCAAAAACTCTAGGGACAACCCAATACCAGTGCGCAGAATATCATGGCAGTTTGGCCACCCTCTACTTCCCTAACAAATAACGTTACATTGACGCAACATATCCTGGTCGACTCCACAGGGCACATGCAATTCAGCGACACCTGTATAACTCTTTTAACTGTTTACATTTTCAACATCATGCACTTCTTTACTGACGATCTCCATTGTCCGTAACAGCAGGGCGCTATTCACGTGAAAGATGCAGGTTATGGGGTGAGCTTAATTAATATTCCAGCGGCAGATTTCGAGTACTCCAACTGAGTGTGAAGATACTGGATGCAGCTTCTGACGCCGGAGGTACGGCAGATTAAAAGTCGCCCAAAATGGAAAATTCGAAATTTCCAAATGAGCCGAAATGCGACTACAATGTCAAGGAAACATCGTTAGAAAATTAGCAGTAAAAATGGCATGCCGGCATTGCGCTATAGTTGCGACAAAAGCCAGACAACCACTGAAAAGAACTTTTTTTCATGTTTCGAACAAGGGTGGTCTCGTCATAAACGGCGTCGGGGTGGGCGTGGTCTCTGCTCACCGGCCCTGTGCAATATGTGGAGTTTGGACTCAGCCGTTGCGCTGAACCCCTAACTGGAGCTGAATAAGATCAGTACCGTATTTGTTATTGTTCGTACCAGTAAACAACACTAGGTGAGAAAGAACAGAGAGCAAGAGATCGTCTCAGGAAAAACAGACGAGCGGCGGGTGTCTCTACAAGGCACTTCGATGAGCTCATTGACAGCTTAAAGGCACAGTTAACGATGAAAATAGCTTACGAGGTTTTTTCAAAGATGAGAGAGAGGTCCCCTTACCTACCATATCTGGATGGATTAGGTTGGAGAACTATTAGGTTCGAAAACGGTCTACTTAGGGCCTTATAAAAGCTCAAAGATTGAACCGTGGGTATCGTCGAACGAGTTTCACCGGCACTGTAGGGGCTGCACCGATAACAACGGAACCTATGTAGCAGGTTCTAACAACTTGTCATGGCCCATAACGACAGCGAAAGACAGTTCTGTACAGTCCTGACTAGATGTAGTCAGCTCTTTGCGCAACTGCAACAACTGAAATCTCGTCCGAATCCCTTCCATGTAGTTTCGTCATGGTAATCTCGCCCAACCTCTTCTCCCCCCACATTTAAGGAGCCTTATTTTTCTCGAAAATGGCGAATTTCCCCGCTTCCTTCAATACCGATGAACAAATTCCAACCAATACTTCCGCTTTCCGACGAGAAAGGGGTCCCTCATACTGTCGTGAACTATGCGTTTGATGAGAATTGGAAGCGTGGTGGCTGATGTTTGTCGCTCTACTGATAGAGACACAAAAAGGACTTCAAAAACATTTTATTAAAAATCTCTGCTAGCTTACAAGTAATTTGACTGTTGTAAACGAATGTACAAAAAATGAACGAAATATGCAGCAGGCACTGGAAGGGCAAGTTTTCCTTCAACGAAAAAAAAATAACGGTATAACTGGACAATATTACATTATGAGTAAAAGAGGCTCTAGATGGAAACATCGATAAGCAACAACTGAACATCAGATCGATACTCATTTCACACACACGCATGCACTCTCAATCGAGGACTTAGTTTTTTTGAAAAATTCACAAAAATTGAAAAAAAAAGGTGAAAGAGGGGAGACTACGGAGAAGTACAATTGACAGGAAACATTCAGGAAACAATTTCGTATTAGGGAAAATGGAGGAGACTGAAGAACGTAAAAAAAAAAAATAAAAAACAACAGAATGACCGGGATGACTGAATGACTTAGAGGATTGTGCACCGCCTCTTCGTCTCCGTCGTGCCCCTCGTTGAGCGAAGTGTATCGGTTTTCTTAGTTTCATGTGACGTCGATTCCTGAAAAACTGGCTTTCACTCAGAAAAATGGTCTACTCCATTCTACTAACATAAGTGCTGGTGAGTTCAACGGAGGTTTTCCATAGTCAACTTGGCTTATGCCGGGTGCTCATTGAGAATTTGAGCCCGGGGACAAGGGAAAGGCATGGGATTTGAATCTATTGCACTACGAAAAAACGTATAACTACTTGTAAAAGTAATTCTACGAAATGCCATTCTATAGTAGTATGCAGATCTACAAGTAATAACTCACCAACTCACGGATTAATTTGGTTTCTTCAAAAATCCTGTCAAAGAAATACTTAAGCAAATTGCATGTCTCTGTTCACTTTACCCTTCTCTACCACTACGTTGATCAGACTACGATGCCTGTAGCTTTCTCTGCGTGAAAGTATTGCAGCACGACGATGTTAGAATGCGAAAAAGCTTAACATCTGAACGAAATTTTGGCCTAATCTGGTAGTGCGGACAAAGCCGGCTGTGACCAAATCGGACACTAAGCTTATACGAGCGTGAAAACCTGTGAAGGAAGCGAAGTAGCCAGATTACATTGCTTTGTAAGCCTTATGATTCGAAATAGTCGATTAGAGCCGTATGCATGATTATTGACTGGGCAGCCCCTCGTGGGCAGAGTTCACGATTTTTTTGCTGTGTCTACTTTTACAAGAAAAATGGAAGTGATAGTTTGGTATAGTGCAATAGTGGCAAAGAAAACGCGAAAATTAGCGTATTAGTGAAATACAAGGTCTCAAAAAGTGTAAAAGTAGAGGTTGGACGAGATTGTGACGACAAAAATCGTGTGGAAGGGGTATTTGGACGAGTTGTCGAAATGTGCTTCATTATGCATAGCTGGCTACAGTAAGCCAGCTGCCTGTGTGTAACGTGTGCGTCTTGGTGCGAGTGGTGATACCCTACTGGCCTCGATAACGCCGTCAGAACTCGTCTGCACTTGGTGGTGTAAGCCGGTTCTGACTGGTGAGACCCCTATCAAGCTTTGTCTTTACCTTTCTTCTTGTCTTCCAGTCTGTAGAAGGCGATCCCGCCGAAACGTAAGCCGGGATAACGATTTTTTTTCAACTTCGTCCGAGTTTAAGCAGAAAAACCAACACCTGTCTAGGCCGTTTCCGGTAAACACCATTTCTTGTGCTACCCTTGGGAAACACAGGTCTACCCTAAGGAGCAATCTCAGAATCAATTTTATTGTGGACTGTGCTTGTGTTACATGAAAGTCAGTCTCCATGCTCCCAGAACTTATCAATTGCATAATTTCAGAGCCGTTTGGGTTTTTTCTAGTTTACTTTCCGTCCTCTAATACCTTCCAATAATCATGCATAGGCTCATACTCCAATCTGGGAGTGGTACCACTGTAAACCCCCACGGCAACTAGAGTTTAGGAGCACCACAGCCAAATCTACCCACCTCTGGTGCTTCAGCGCCGGTCACCTCATCAACTTGTCCAGCAACTTTTGCACTGGCCGCCTGCTAGAACGTGTAAATTTTCAGGAAAAAATGAAAACTAAATATGATATTTTCTGATAAAAAGGATAAAGCAGAGACGGGCAGACAGGCTGAGCTAATTTCATAGGCGGTGGGCTTTTAATCAACTCACCCTAAGCCGGTATAGAGATCTAAATTCCCTACCCGCGAACTACAAAATGACATCAGACTTCTGGGGCTCAAAAGGCAAAATTTGCCCTAGGAACGTTAGCATTTCCAAATGTCAATCCAACAAATGCTGTGATTTTAATCCGCTGTTAATTACGCGGCTCATCTCTACCTATTTCAGTAGCCGTTCCCACTATAGGTCCTTTCAGATATACCGTGACCTTTTCAGAACAACCGTAACATCGAACCACGGTACATCTACCGCCCATCACGAGAGAAGAGCCCGTCTGCCCGTCGCTTAAGCCGTGCATCTAATGTTAGGCCAAAAAACACAAATTAGTGAACGGCACACAAAGCAAAGCTGAAAAGCAGTTGGACCTCCTTCGCTGCTTCCACTACCGCTTCTTCCGTGACCGTCTTCGCGATTCCGTCAGCAATGGGCTGTGGTTAGAAAACGATTAAAGAAGGCATCACATGGATTGTTACAAATAATACATTAAGCAGAAAAATAGTAATAGATATGCAGCAAATGAGTTCAACATAGCTATACATATGCTGTTTTAGGAGCTTGCTATGAAAAATTCCTTTTGAAGGCTGATTTGGGACGCTTTGATGATTAAGCAAACACTCATGATTTGTTGCACAACTATGTAGAAGTACGTGCACACGTGCAGGAAAAGGTGAGGTGCAATCTGAGTGCGACAAATGGATATTAACTTTCACACATCAAATTTGCACATGTAACATCAAAAACCGACTGTCTGGGAAAGATTTCAGAATCAAAATTCAGTGTACGGCAAAAAATTCCTGCCAAGATACGGTTCGGGATCATTTCTGAGCAAATATCGCACAAAATGAAAGCTGGGTAAAGCCACGCCACCCCATAGAGTACCAAAGGCAGAGGTAGTTGTTTGGAATGGGTGATCATGAAATACAATTTTCCCTAATCAGAGGAAACCATGAGTAAGTTTCAGGGCAGTACAACAACATCCAATATAAAAGTAGGATGGAATGAACTGTAAACTCCAGCGGGTTCAGAAGTTCAGCAAGTGCAGGGGCCACGGCGAACGTCCGTTGCGCGTGTCCGTCGAAAGTAGGTCACCCCGCCCACTTCGCGCGCGGCGCACCTCACTGAGGTCTCGAGATGACATTACAGTACCACCAAGTGTGAGTGGAGCGAACGATTTGCATTTGTCCGTGTTATCTTTTCATTGGCTGACTGCCGTGGACCAAGCGCAAACCGTATGCCCCACTGATAACTGCGACATCTGTCAAGTATCGCGGGCTGACCCGCCGCATGCAACGGCTGCGGCGTGACCTAGTTTTCACGGACACGCGCAACGAAGCGCACCCCAGGGGCCACGGTAGGTCCAGGGCCAACTGGTTTGTTTAGGACACCAAGGCCAAAAGTTCAACCATCCACCGCTTGTCATCACCTAAGAAGTTGGCCACTTCGCCAAAGGCAGGGTTGGGGAAAAGGACGCACTCCTACTCAAAATCTGCTTTCGAGTAAGCTTTTAGGTATTCCAAGGCGTCCCCGAGTGTAGTTTCGAATCTTTTCCCTTAAGGTAGTTTGTGTTGGCCAACTGTTGTCATCCTTCCCACCCATGACCGGAAATATTACCGTACCTTGTATGCTGGCTCAAAAGCTGAGGCAGAATCAGCTAAATGGACTTCATTCGGGTTTAAGCCTCTATAGAAGCTTGTAACTTGTGAGCTTTAGCGAAAAACTATTTCACTATCAGTTGATAACCGAAGTAATTACCCCTGGAACTTTATCTGGAGACTGAGGAGAAGTTTCGGTGATATGTTTCACTTCTTCGACAATGGCTGTAGCTCGTTCTTGAATTGCATCACATGCCTCGGCTAATTCCGATTTTGCCTCGGCAATCGCCGACGACGTCGTGTCATCGGCGAATTTCTGAAGGTTAGCACTCGTTAGCCAATTCAGAACTGTTACTAACACAACAAACCCAGTGGGGACAGAAAGTTTAAGCAAAAGCATTAAAAACATGGCTCCAGGGCTTTGCGTAACGCCACAATAATTTAAAGACAGCCTTGGTTTAACTTTTACACGTACACGTTCAAGAATAAAGGAAACATCAACACTCAAAGCTGTGCCCCTAGTTAATACAGAAGCCTGTCATCTTCACATATTTTCTCTGAGTCCTGGAAGGTCTGAAAAAAAGTTGAATGCGGGGCACATCCCAAAACGGGATTGACCAACGTCGAACGGCTTACACCTTCACTGACCGTCGCTGAAGATCATGTCTAAGCAATCACAAGAAAGCATTTTTTACTGCGAAACAGGGCACACCTTGGCACTTCACTTATGTCACACAGTTTATCAATTGCTTACACTTCCAAGGGTTTTTTCGACACAAGGTTCACTTTAAGGGATCACCAATTCGTTAGAAAGCACGAGTTTTCCATGAGTACAAAGCTCAGACATATACGGCTTCATCCATGATGCGACTTTTCCAAAGTGAGCTCTCTCGGAAGACGCATGCTAGCATTGTTTGGTACGTTAATGTATGAAGTATGTACATATCCCCGTTTAAAGAAAGCAGCGGATCGTCCGGACCACCACTGAGGGTCTAAATTGATCAAACTTTCCGCCTTTTTCGCCCCTGATGATGAACTCAACGGGTGAGGAACATGAGACACACTCCTATAACTTCTGCAAAAAGATGCCCCTAGGCTGCAATAGCGACCATACATTTCTTTGGATTCCAATCGCAGCTCAGCTTTCAGTACGCGACAAGATATATCTCGCTAATGGGACACTGAAGCAACCTGTTCTATCAGTAGTTCAAAAAGCATTAGTTATAACAGAATAGGTAGCACTATGAACAAACAGCTTGCAGATGGTTTCCACTACTTCTCTAAGGGAACGTGTCAAACGTGGTGCTCAATTCGGTTAGAAAAACAAAAGAGTGGCACAAAGTGAGTTACCGAACAGGAATCCGAGCTTTGACTTGACTACGTTCAGCCTTTTAGTTACGCCCTACAGTTCTGCCACACCACTCAAAGAGACAACTAATTATTAACAAGGGGATAGGTGAACGAGCTAAAGTAACCATAATGCACTCTCGACACCAAAAGGGCCCTTACCAGTGAAAAACCATGCTTTACATAAAATCAAAAAATTCATGGAATCAGCACTGCATTCTTTGATGCCCGCAAGGAAATGATAGCACATTGACTCACCCCCAACTCGTGTGCCTTATGGGCAGCAGCCGAAGCAGCATCTTTGACAGAGGCCTGAAAAACAAAATTGCAATTACAAACGAAACAATTCACCAGGAAACAACAAAAAGAGAAAAAACATTCGTGGGTCAGCCCAAGAGTAAATAACCAGAGGCCTGAAATGGCTACCTCAGCAGCCTTTGCTTCTTCACGAGCATGAGCCGACAGTTCAGTTGCTTTCTGAGAAGCCTTATCCGTCAACTCGCCGACCTTCTGCTTCGCGTGTTCGAGAGCTTTCGCTGCGCTGTCTTCAGCGGAGTGAAGCTGAAATACGATAAAAATACAATGAACAAAGCCAAAAATTTCTTTGGAATTCCAAGGATAGATTGCAAAGTTTCCAAGGTCCCACATTGGGAAAATCCTGCACCCAAGCAGATATGGAGCTGTTGCTTCCATTTTAGCGCCACAATTAATGCAGGAGTAGTTCCGCAAGAAAACAAAACACCCTATTGGAAATGAAAAAGAGAATTGAGCACATGCAATACGGTAACCAATCAATAACTTATAAATCGATGAATATTCTTGAAAATCTTTCCAATATATTTTAAACAGTTGAGCAGCCATGAATCCCTCTTTGGAAAGATTTTAACGATATTTTGGAAATATCGAAGATCATTGGCAAGCAGAGCTACTTCAAGCAGGCGTTAGAGTGGCAGACCACACCACTTTTGGAAAACTTTTTGGCCTCTACACAGGCCAGTATAAAAATTCACGAATCACGACCAAATATGTATTCCAACCTTCTTCCTTCATCGCCAGTGAGTAGTAAGACTCGAGGCGAAATCGTTAAGGAAACATCACAACCGACAAGACCAACGTTTTCCCTTCACTGCTGCTACTTACACTGTTGTGGTTCCGATCTTACAGCCTTCTACTCCTACTTAGGCAACGTTGAAGTCAATCTCATAAGTGTTGCAATCAAGCCCGTAGGTTTCCCAATTCGTGGATTTCGCAGTCACTTCTGTACCTGTGGAACCAGTTTCGCACATTCCCTCACTTGCGATGTGTTATTACCCTTGTGGATAGCTAGCACGCCTATCCATGGCACAGCAGATTAAGAAGTTCCTTGTCCGAAGCCGTGATGTAATATGCTTGGCTTATGCCCTTCTGGTGCGGTCAATATCGTCTAACCAAGGCACATCTCACGCTAAACTTAAGTTCGCCTCCGGAACTCCTTCTCCGAAAGGTCTCCGTCTCAGGAACCACAGCAAAAAGTTCCACAAGCGAATATGTGTACTCATATTCTGCCTCCGTATTCTCTACATCACTGCGCCACGTTGATTGAAGGTGAAAGCGCTCGACGGTATGAAAAATGCCATTGACGCCCTTTTGTATGTAGACTCACTGGTTAGACACATAGATCCGAACGTACTCAAACACATCTCCTTGAGCTTTCAAGGAATGATGTCCAGTCGTCATCTACCCAGCTTGAATTGTTCCTCCTCTTCCGTAAACTAGTGGTCTTCGCCTCCACCGCAGAATAGGACCATCCTTACTGGCAATCTTGATAGTAGACTCAGCGGTCTTTTGCTTAGAATATACCAGTCGAATACTAGAAAATTTACGAAACTGGTCGCAAGGCCTACGAAACCGGGTGCGAGGTTTACCAAAAATAGGATTAATAAATACCAGACTGATTGTAAACTTCACGGAACAGAAATCATGGAATCAGTTGCGATAGTTCGACTGCAGCGTTCA